TGTGTGTGTGTGTGTGTGTGTGTGTGTGTGTGTGTGTGTGTGTGTGTGTGTGTGTGTGTGTGTGTGTGTGTGTGTGTGTGTGTGTGTGTGTGTGTGTGTGTGTGTGTGTGTTTTTTGAGTGTGTCCTTTGCACGGAAAGAGGAAATATAGCATCCCTTTGTGGAAATCGGATCGCCAGGCGTACCCAGGGCGACGGCAGACCGATAGGCCGATGGGTTTTTGGACCGCTGATTAGTGGACCATGGTGGCCCAAAGTGCGTAAAGTCTGCCTGTTCGATTGCCCGTAAGGAGCTCATCATCTAGGTCTTTTAATTGGGTCCTTGGGTTCGAGACGCGTACTGTTCGCCTTTTCTCTTAAATTTTAGGGGAATCTTGGGAAAGCAAGGTGTCCACGGGATCTCGGTCACTGGGTTTGCTGGTGCCTTCCATTGAAACGATCGGGAAATTGAGGAAACCCGGTTGCCTGATCAGAAGTCCGCATATTACCGATCACACAGTCTATGTTCAACATGTTCTTCTTTGACTGCAGCTTTCTTGAATATCAAACTCGGCCAGCGGAGGCCCTTTCGTTGAGTGGTGAAGGAGGTTGTTTTAAGCAATCAACCCCCATATCAATGACATTGAAGCAGGCAACAGATGAACGACCACGCGCAGACACGCGCAGACACCCCATACAGCTGAGACAAGCATGTCAACTGCAACTAGCGTTTTTTCGCTACCTATCTGGGCTGACAATGAGAAGGGTGAAGCAAAGGGCCAGTCTACTGGGTATATGCTCTGGCATTGGCTTCCCCGCATTCTCCCAAAGTGGAGTGTGTGAAAAACAAATATGGTTCCAATTCCCTGCCGAAAGTAAGACAAACGGAAACCACAGATGTGAGAATTGTGATGCGTCAACAAGACCGCCACTTTCTGCCAAAGGAAATTCCCTAAGTTCCAAAGTGGGCGATGTTCTAAGTGCTCCTTTTCTGACCAAAAAGTCCATGCTTTCCAGTCTCTCAATTTCCCTTTGCACCTCCAAACGTTCCTTTAAGGGCTCCCTGTCCCGTGCTGGGGGCCTCCAAAAGCTGCGATTTCAGCTGGGGGAATCCGCCCCATCGTCTTTGCTTCTCAGGCCTGAGAGCCCAAGCTCCGCCGGGGTTCCGATTGGGTGCCGATTGGGCTAAGAAACATCCGGAAACCTGAGCTCCCAAAGAATCACTTCGGCTCCCACAAATTCCAGCGCAAAAAAGAAAAAGAGCCCTGTCTGTGCAAAGAAAATCGACCTGAAATGACCGTTTGAAAACCGCTTTCTAGTGGCCCCAAAAGGTTAACCTTGTAGGCCTGTTAACTTGGATATCGTTGCAGCATTGTTGTGCAGATGATTGACCTGTTACTTATTGAACAATACCAACAAAAATAATTGCTTCCCATTAACCAGCAAGTTGAAACTTCTTGGGCAGCCCACCTGACACTCTGGAAAGGAAAATCGAGGCATGGCGGCGGCTTGGCCATAGATGGCTTCCCTCAAGACCCTCTTGAAACGATTCCTTGCGTTTGTTTCTGTTCCTCTAGCCAAAACCTTTGGTTGCCCTGGGTACTGAACCCCTAGATAGCTTGAATGTGGTTGTGGGATACTTGAAGACCAAGCTTAGTCATGCTTACAGGACCGAAATTTGTATGTGTAATGTGTTCGCCCTTGTTAATCTTAATGTTGAGGCAGGGAAGATACAAAGCCGCCAAAGTTTGTTTTGTGGTTTGATGTTTCGTGTGGCTCCTCGAGTGACCCAGCATAGGTTTGACATATTCCCTCAGGTTGTGAGCTTTTGCGGCGCTGACCGGGCCCATCATATTGCCTGCTGTTCTTCATGTCTTTTCTTTTTGGCGGGGGGGGGGGGATCAAAGTGAGAAAATGGGGTTGTTCTCCTACCTGCCACTTGGGGGGTGACAGTTTTGAAGAAATCCTGGGGCCCAGACACCTGAGACCATTTGGTTGCATCGGAGGCCCAAAAGGTGCGAAGTCATTTTTTGGACGTGTCAGTGAAATCGGTGGCACCGGGTTTCTGCCCGTTGTTGGGAGGTGCTCAGTTCCCGCATTCGCGCGTTGACCTGTTGGTTCTTGTTTGGTGTGAGTGTGTCCTTTGGCCAGATAAAGGTGAACAGCAGTGCTTGCCATTGTCACCAGAACCCCTTCCATTACCCCCTGAAAGCTGGCCTTCCTTTTGGCTCAAGAGAAACGCATGCTTGAAGACAACCTCCCCCCCCCCCCCCACACAGCCAACATTTGTTCAATCGGCCTGGCGCACAAAACAGAAGTCACTGGTCGCCGAAATCACGCTCAAGAAAAGTTGCGTTGGGCGAATGCCACTTGCCCAGGTTGGTACCAGAGATTCGAGCTCCTGACAATGAACCCACCAAACAGAGCAGCCAAAACCAAAGCTCAAACGGTGCAAAAGCAGCCCGCCTACAATCAACCGACCAAACCTGACAAAAAAAAGCTATGCTTCGGGGGCGCCTGCTTTTCCACAACCGGTTGATTTGAACCCTTGGCCTTTTTCAGTGGAAACTTACCCTTCTACAACCAAAAGCACCCCCTCGTGTGCTTTTCGGGTTCAAAAACCGAGAAAGAAACAGATCAACACAAAGAACGAGCCCCCCTCCAAACATGAGCCTCCGGACCTCCTTTTGACACCTTTTTGGTGGAGGAATCGACCAAATGGCACCTACCCACAAAACACCTTTCCACCCTAAGGGCCCAAGTATATTCCAGTAAGAAGTCCGCAAGAGAAAGGGCATTCTCGCACTCCCAAGAACAAACATAGCACCAAACACAACCGGCCAAAAGAACTTTATACAAACACACAGAGCTTAGAGACCCACCTAAACATACACAAACACACAAAAACCCAAAAAGAAACCTTAGAAACCCAAACGAAAACCCACCAAACACATATCCAAGCCAAACCAAAGCCGCGGGGACCGCTCGGGTTGACCCCGTCCCGCGATGTTTCTGGAGACCTCGGCGCTGCTGGGCAGCTTCGGCGCACTGCTGGGCCTGCAGCTCCTGAAGGTCCGGGTGAGCTGAGGGAAGGAACATGATTCCCGACGGATGGTGATTAGGGGTCATTCCAATTCTTATGGTTCTCAAAAAATCATCCCTTATGGTTTGGGGGTGATTCGCTCGGTGTCCTTTGTTCGGGAATCCCCGAACGGTTCATTCCCAAAACCCGGACTCGGTCATTCCCCGAGCACCAGCAAGCCCTTGAGGCCCTTAAGGGGTGACATCTAGGGAACCCTGGAGGGCACAACGCACGTAACCTTTGGCTTCCTTTACCAAGGTGCCAGTTTGGTGCCATTTTGTTGAGCCACAGCCAAGCGAGGATATTTTTTCCCTTGGGTGATGTATTAAGGCTGACCTGTAGGGAACCCTATGTTTTTGTTACCGCAACAGATTCATCCGGCAACCCAGAGTTGAAGTTTGGATTGGGGATTTGACGCCCTTCTTGCCGGGCAAGGTTTCTTCAGGTCAAGGGTTTTGCGAAAAGGACTCCCTTTAAAAGAAAAGGAAAGGAAAGTGTTTAAAAGGGGGCCCGGTTTGGACTTGCTTGGGGTGGAAAATTGGCGCTTGCCATCCTTTTGGCCAGACGTCCTGCGGGCTGTTTCCTTTTCTTCGATTCTTTGCAGAGGGTGCCGTTATTCCCATTGAAATCCTGTGGAGGTTTGGGGATGGTGTGGCTGAAAGGTTGGTACAAAGACGGCTCAAGGGTGGTGGTTTGTTGGCCACGCCGTAGAGGTCGGTCAACCAAAATGCTCAAAGCTGACCTTTTTGTGGGCCGTTAGCTACAGCTCTAGAAGGTGATCACCTTTATGTCACAGCTGTTTTGGCTGAGTAGATGGTTTGGGTGAAAAGTGTTACAAATATGGTTTCCAGGCGGTTTAAAGGTTTGGCCTCCCACCTTCTAGACGGTTTTGAGGTTTCACAAAACAGTTCAAGGCGCTGTGAGGGAGACCTCGGTGCTCCACTGGCGTCCGTTTTGTGCGGCTGCTTTCTTCGCCCAACACGAGAAAAGCCGAGCGCCTAGGTCCCACAGAAGCGGTCCGGTGTGCTGCTGGCCTCGCTGGCCTCAGTGCCTTGGGCAGTTTTTCAGGTCGCGACTCGACCCATGCGCTCAGCCGTCGCTCAGCCCCCGGGCAAATCAAGTCGTGGGGGGTTGACCCAAGGATTTTTGTTTGGTTCGATCTCTTGTTGTTGCGTTTTGGGTGGTGAATTACAGAGACTTTGCCCAGGCCCGACGAACAGAGAGTTTAGAGACCTTTGTGACTCGTGACTTCTCTCCCGCCAAAAGTTTGTCACTGCCAAGGGATCAAACCACTAAGAAGCTCGGGTGGTCAAAGCAAACACGGACCTGCGCAAATGTCCCTTTGCAGCGCTGTTGAAACTTTGGAGCTGCGCGCCAAACTGTTATTTAACAAAAGTTGGCTTAGGCATGTTGATACATGCTGTTGGCCCAAGCTGTTTGAAGGAATGTGGGTGTTCCAGTGTATGTTTGGGGGCTGCTAGTGCTGGTTTTTCATATTTTCCAGTCTAACGCCCAGTTGTGTTGCTTTGGACAAATTTCCTGATGTTCCTGTGTAAGACTAAGACCATGTTTTGAAGGGGTGCCAAAAGAAAGCCTACCTTCCATTAGGGCTAGGCAAGATTTGCATGAAAAATCAGATGGCTGCCGTTCAGAAATCAGGTGCATGGAGAACTCTTCCGGATTTGTCCAGTTTCATTCCCAGCCGTTTTGGAACGGGAAATCAAAGGCATGTGGTCGTGTACCGGGTCGACTTCCGAAGTCCCCTCCTAGTCTTCAAGTGTTCTCCGGTCGGGGCTTCCCCTAGCAAGGATCCAGTGCCAAGTTGCCACTGAGGTGTTTTTCGGCTTCGACAACTTTCTGGTGGCTTATGCAGGCCGCTTGATGGAGCCTGCGGATTACATGTCGGTGATGTTCCTGATGATCTCCAGATGCAAGTGGCCAGCCATTCTTCTCATTTGCGTAAGGTGTCCCTTCAGAGTCAACCATCAAACAAATCAACTCAAGTCGCTTTTTCTCGTTGCTTTTCTCGGTGTGAGTGTGCCTTACAGCCAACCACTGGTGTCCTTTTGTTGTGGCAAGCAGTGAGGATCGCCTGTGTCGCCGGGACGGGCGGAAGCGTTCTGAGCCTCCTGTGCCCCGAGTTCCACGAGGAAGCAAAGCAATTCCTGCGGCGGTCAACGAAGACGCTCGGTGAAGGTCAGCATGTGGGGGGTGAAAAGGTCCGATGAACATGAGATCATCCATTGGTTGGCAAACCGCGAAAAAGAAGACATGTGAAGCACAAAATAGGTCCTTTGCCTGAGACCATTCGTTGGGCAACCGCTAAACGAATGATATTTCAACCACGTGGGAAAAGTTACCCATGTTTTTTTTGGGGGGGCCTAATTGGAGTATTGACCAACCCCCATGTTTCACTTTGCCCAAAAGAGTTCACCGAAAAACATGTCCTGAAGGACAGGCAGTCAGCGCGCATGCGGAAAAAAAGTTGAAATGTGGTTTTCTGCTTGTCCTGTGTCACGAACCCAAATGAGTCATGCAAGACCACGTGAAGAAGCAAAAGGGCGCACGTCATCATTCATTTGTGGTTGGGACTATCACTTACCAACCTTCACATGCCCAGGTTTGGATTGTGGCTCAGATTGATCATAGAAAAGCTTGGTGTTGTGGATGGACAAATCCACTTCAAACCAGTTGTGATTGGGATAAATGAAATCCTGGTGTAAGCCACCTACCGACTGGTGCCCAGAGGATTTTGTCCATCCAAGGGTGTGTTAGAAAGGTCAGCTTAGCCGGGTGTCTGAGTTTTTCTTTCGCTCTAATCATTTGCCAGTGTCGTCTTTTCCTCCTTGAAGGGATACCTAAGTTCTGGGCATGGGCTAAACATCTCGGGGCTGAATCTTCTTCAGCACGGCGAGCCGCGGCGAGCTGCGTATCTCACTCCCTCGACTTTATCCTTTTTGGATTTGGAACATGTTCTAGGTCCCCCAGTAGTGCCCTTTCTCACCAACTTTTTTGATTGGGAGGGTTCCCCTACTAAAATCGACTGCAGAAAAAGTTGGAACCCTATTCTAAAC